CTTTCCGCTTTCCCTGTCTAGTTGTGATCTGCAGAAGCACCACCAACATGTGCTATAACAGCAGGGGAAGATTTCTGGAGACTATCAGCTAATCAATTATTTTAAGTGAGTTCCCGGGCTGAAGAACTTCTCCAGCAATCCTATACAGAAGCAACCTCCTGTGGCTCACACTGCACCAACACTTTTCCCTTGGGGTGGATACTGCAAAATCCCCAACTTGGTTTTCTTTTGGCCATGCTCTCCTTTGGAAAGGCCTCAGCCAAGTACAGCGTATCTCTGCCTGATTGAAAAGTTGTTCTGAAGAGCTGGAGAAAAGCCAACAGTTCAAGCAGATTTAAAAGGAAGAAAGCCATCCCTTGAGGCAGAGCGGCACACTGTCGGCCAGGTCAGATATCCTTACCCTTAGTTAGATGCTTATTCTGCATGGCCTGGGAGAGCCCTTTGTCCAGCCCCGCACATGTCAGGAAAGGCACTGTGGAAGGGGGTACGGCTGTCTGGTAATGCCATAGGACTCTTTTTTTCTCCCATGTCCTCATCCCCGACTGCCCAGGTAGCTACACCTGGCCTGAACCAGAACCCAAGTCTGAAAAGGCATGGTACCACTGCACTGGGGGAGTAGTGGGGTTTGGGACTGGTTAACCAGTGGGACTACTCAGATATCTCCTACAGATTCTCTGCCGGCAAGTTGAGTCGTGGTCTGTTCAGGTCAAGGACAGTTGCATCAGTCCTCTAAGCCACATTTGTCCTAGGACAGTGACACATGCCCTGCAGCCCCATCAGATTGCTCTGCACCTACACCTCTGTGCCTCCAAAGTTTAAGTTGAGACAACTTGAGGCATGCCAGTGCCTGCAAATGTCCTCAGTACAGTTTAATTAACCAGCGTGGAGATATCCCAAGGATACAGCACACTGTGGAGGACAGCATTTCTGAGTTCGATACCCAATAACTGAGACTTCAAGCATCTTGGAGGGTTCCAGCGACCAGGGCTGCCCGGCAGGCACAGCCTCTCCAGCCCTGTGAACCACCTGCATCCCCAGCTCCCTCCGCAGCACAAAGGGCTGCGGTCTGCAGCAGAGCAAACCCCGTTCCCACCTCGAGCTACGTAGGGAAACACACTTAGTGGTTTTTAATTACCTATGAAGCAGGAAGCATGTGACACTGCCCATGTTCCGGGAACCAGCCCCTTCCCAATAAAGCCTCTGATGGACTTGACCTCAGCAGGGGACCGGGGTGATAAGCGCTGTTTGTTGTTCCTGCCGAGTTAACATTCCCTGGCTCACAACGCTGTCTCCAGAACTTGCTCAGCTGATGTTCACTTTATAAAAATAACTCTGGCGCCATGTGTTTTACGAAGTTCATTTTAACCCATTGTCAACAAACCTGTGCGGGCTGTGGCAGAATGAATCCCAGGGTGGGGGACTCAAAATTGTTTGGCGTGAGACAGGGGGGGTGAAATAGGAAACAGGGGGAAAAAACACATGCTAAAGACAGCCACAAGAGCTGCATTCATACAGGGATTTCTGGGGTGGCAGCCAGGAAGGGTCAATGGTGTCATGACCAGCCTGCAATGCAATGCAAACAGAAAACACCACCCTGCTCTGTGGCACTAAGTGTTTTATCCAGGAATAAACACACTGTGACACAGACAGACCTGTGCTCCCAGAGCCTCTCTTCCCTCTGTAGCTGGTATGTACAGTGTTTCCCATAAACACAAACGACCCACTGAATGCAAATGCAGATGATCCAAAATTTCATGAGGACTTGAGATCTGCTACCCCTAAGGCTTCTTCCCCATCATTCCTGCACTGCAGCTCCAGCCCCAAATACTCAGGGTCTTGCTAAAGGAAACAGAATAACAATAGTAAAAACATCTAACTGTTCCCTGGAGACACATAACCTAACTCTTCACAGCTGTCAGAGCGCAGCCTCCAATAATTTGGGTAAAATATCTTTTTCTAGCTCAAACAGCAAAGTACACACGAGACTTCCCCATGTTCCTTCATCTCCCAGCTTGGAGTTCTTCCTCACCTTTCCCTTAACATTTCTGATGGAGACAGGAGTGCTTACGGCCACCACACTCCTGCCTGATGTTGCCCAGTCTCCCAGGAGATCTGCTTCTAGGGATGACTTCAGGGAAATTCAGCTGCAGATACTATAAACCAGGGTAGAAATTACTAAGAGAGTCATGCGTCCTTCTGAAAGAACAGACAGACTCCTGAATTTACAGAGCCTTGCACAGTCTTTGTGTGTGTGTGTTTGTGCATAAGTAGATGAAAGAAATAAGAAGGTGAGTCAGGGTAAATGCATCTTCTTATAAAGCACTCAGAATAATGCCATTAAATGTCAAAGCACCATGCTATTTCAGTTTTGCTGGCTTTTTCCCTACTGAGAAATCTTCCAGATAATTTCTGACCTGGGTTATTCATCTTCACCGTACACACAGAAAAGACACGTGAGAGCGAGGGATGAGAGAAGCAGCTGTGCCCATGCCGCTCACCCCCAATCCTGGTACGCTGAGGTCTGCAGCAGCGGTGCAGGGTGCAGGCTGGGTTTGCCTGCAGAGATGGGAGCAGCTCACGCATGCACTAGCCCCTCCACATTCAGCCCAGGTTTGTACCGGTAATTTGGAGTCTCCTGGGATCAACCAATTACAGTAAGATAGGCAGGTCTCTAGAAGATGATCCGTATGGAAAAGTCCTTCTCTGGAGGCCCTTTCAGGAGGAAGGTATCCCCTGAATCATTAATACTACTGTATTGCTGGAGTGCATCCACTCTGCAAGAACATCACCACAGCCTGCACGGGACGCTCAGGAAAGGGTTACCCTCGTGATCACGCTCAGCACTTCAGCTCCAGTCAGATATGCTGTCAGATCCTAACCAGAGGTGCCAGGACTGATTTTTCTCCTTCACCCACCAGACTGTGCTTACAGCAGCAAAGCAGGTGTTCACAGCCTCATGCAACGCATCCTCAGGGGTGGCTTTCATTTTGCTGCTTTGGAGACTCCCTGTACATCCAGGAGAGACCCAGGCTCTTCCAGAGCTCAACAGAGTCCTGAACTCCCTGCTAGAGATACCTCGAAATACCAAGAAGCACCTTCTCACGCCACAGATCCACTATTTATTATTATGTATACAGCCCACATGCAGAGCACTGGGCCAAACGCAGGATGCTCCCTACTCATCTGTTTACTCTTCCTTCTGTCTCCAGCCAGCCAAAACACTTCAGACAAACAGGCACAACCCCCAGTAGGAAGACACAGGCTCACAGACTGTCCCACGGATGCAGTCTCCCAGGATGGCCCCGTAACCCATCCCATGCAAGCAAAAATCCTCCCTTGGGTGCTGGAAGGAGCCTAGGGTGAACAAAACAGCTCCACATCATTCAGGCACTTCTCCTGCCTGAATGGATATTGCCCTCTCTTAGCAGCAACGGCAGGTTTATAATGTGAAAGATTTTACCTTCTTCGGCTTCCAGATCCACCAGTGAAGATACCAACACGCCCATCTCCTGACATTTTTTGCTGTGGGCCTTTGACTTCATATGTTTAGTCAGATTCCCTGAAAAGAAGCAAAAAACATATTTTGGTCAATATGGCCCTTTTTTTCTTTCTTTCTTTTTTATTTTTTTCATTTTGCAAGCTCAGCAGTTACAAGTTAATATAAGTTTATATTGCTCTGAACCGGACAAAGGAGGCCTCTGACTCTTCCCAAACCACTATCCATTGCAAATACCCTGTGACACAAGACTAAGTCCTCCCTTTTGTTCCTTTGCTTCTGCCCTGGGGTGGAAAAGGAGGTGCTGGCAGGGTTGTGTGACCTTTCAGTTGTTGTGCAACCTGAAAAAAAAAGTTGGGGTACACATTTGGGTTTGGAGGGAAGAAAAGTCCCGGATTGTTTTCAGTTGTGATGGTGCCACAAAGAAAAATGGTAGGAAAGTAGGGAAGAGAAACACATTTCAACCTAGCATCACGTCCCACCTCATCCCAGCACACAGGGTCACCAGCCTGGAGGTGAGGAGCTCCTTAGCACCACAGGGCAGACTGGTGCTACCAAAATGAGTGCTCAAGATGCCAGCAACAGTGAAAAACCTTAAAATCACCCTCTTCCCTCAGCAGGATGGCTCAGGTGCTTTGGCATGCACCAAAGTGCCAGGCAAAAGTTCTCAGCTCCCTGAGGAGTCATGGATACCCTCTGAAGCCCTGTGCACCAGGGTCTGGCAGCACTGAGAGAACCTGCTGAGCACTAATGAGGCTTCCTCGGGGCTGGGGTGGAAGGAGCAGCCCCTGCAAGGGGGGAGTCTGGGATGTGGGGGCATTGGTTACTGCTCTGAGACGGCGTGATGGGATAACTCGTGGGCACACTGGCCTCACAGAGCACTTCTCTAATTCTAACTCCCAAATTACAGGCAGGTTAATTAGACAGTTATTAAACCTACTTATATCCAAGGGAAATGCTGAACAAAGGGGAATCTTGTTGAGGGGGAAAAGGTAAGTAGGTGGAATGAAGGAAAAAATCAAGGGTAAGAGAAATAAAGAAAAAAATGTCCCATTTTTCCCTTTCCTCTCCCACACCTCTTTATGGGCTGAGCTGATGATGAGAAGAAATCTGGGCCCTTGCTGAAGCTCCACCAAGGGCTGTTTAATTTCCCATCACAGCCCACGAGCTGGCTGAGCACTCCAAATTCAGTGCAGCAATATGATGTGCCATCAGCCTTCCTGTTAGCGAACACTTGAGAGTAGTGCTGAACATGAGGTTTGTTTTTCTCACCAAAAAAAAAAAAAAAAAAAATTGAGGAAAAAAATGAATTCTCACACTTTATTATAACCTTCAGCTGAGGACTGAGGTCCCTCAGCTGGTATCCTGCAATCCAAAGAGTCCCCCAGTCCCTGAGCTGGGTGGGAGTATAGAGAGCCTCTATCAACCTCTCCTCCCACTGCTCCGGATAGCATAAATAAATAAGCAACTATTCATTGGAGCAGAGAATTACCCGTGACGCCCTCACATCTCTGAAGAGTGCCATAACCATCTAGCTACCAAGTTAGTTTCTCTTTAGTCCATGAATTATTTATTTAGCCCATTTTATACAAAATGGAATAGCTCCAACAGGAAAGACCAAGAGAGACAAAGGCTGACTATATATCCTTGTGTATCTGGCACCCATCTAGGATGTGGATTCAAAGGATATTTAATAATTTAAATGCAGCAAAACAGTTCCAGTAAGACAGATTTATTATTTTTAAACTTGATGCCTAAATACCCTTAGCCCCATGGTTAAGACGCTCGGGTATGAGGATGAGGCCAGCTTGGCTCAGGTCCTTGCTCAGAATCAGACTTCTCTTTCTCCACTTCAGAGCAGAAGTTTTATTGTGGACCCAAAGACACCCACTCAGACAAGAACATGCTCTCACGGACACCTCTGGTTCCAGTGAATCACCATTGTTTTAAAGTGAAAAACTCTTTCACTGAGAAGTATCCAACGAGTCCAAATTGTGGCCTCATGGAACTGGAATTTAATTTTGGACCTAACTAAGAGAAAGACAAACTGACTCAGTCTGTTGAACTCAAACCCTGCTGCTGCTGCCTGTCTATCATGGCACATCACATCTTGCCTGGTAAAAATGACCCATCTTTGCTGAGTTACCACAGCAAAATCCCTAACTGGATTCCCTTGAATGCTAAGAAACACAGAAAACAAGCCCAAGTAAATGCCTGATGTGAGCAGGGGGCTGTTGGTTAACCTGTGGTCTGCAGCATCTCGGGAATTCAGCTGTGATCCCCTTGGTGGGAAGAGTTGGAAGGGCAGGTCCACCAGGGGTCTTGGTGAGACCACATCCCCAAAACAAGCTCATAAATTCACTGTGCTACATGCATCTGGCTTTGGCTAAACCAGGAGGGCATAACATTAATTACTCGGAGGGGGGTTGTGAAATGCAGTGTTTTGGGCAAGACTGCAGCCACCCCGTACTCGAGGGAAGGACTCTGGTCCTCAGAAGCGTACAGTTGCCACCTTGGCCACTTCAGATGTCCGAAGGCTGGTTATACACACAGGTCCTCCCCGCTGCCTTGGCTCCAGTGGTGTTTGCGGCAGACGCACACTCTCCCTTTTGCTGCTGCAGGCTCTGGGCAGACACGGGGAGCCCAGCCGGCTGCCTCTGCAGCCCACAGCTCCCTGCCATCGCTTCACTGCACCTCTGCTTTGACTCTGCTCCACCCGGAGCAATGGCTCAGGTTGACAAGCTCTGCCAGAAGCCATCAGCATCACTTGCCTTTTTATTTTCTTTCACTGGAGGCAACTGTCTTTGTGCAAGGCAATGCCACGGCTTCTCCTCTCCCTTCCCCACCCAGGCTGCCTGCACAGGCATGAGCTGGAAGGCACTGCACAGGCAACGCCAAACCCCTCTGTACAAATGAATTTATGCAAAATACCAAAGGATCAATTCATAGCAAGTGTCGCTTTCTTTCCCCTTCCACTTTTTTCTACTGTTTTCCATCTCCCTTGCGCTGATGAGCAAGATAAGCCTGGAAAGCTCTCGGTGCAAATCCCCCTGGTGCACGGTCTGTCCACGACAGCACCCTGCATGCACACCAAGTAGAAATTCCAACAAAATAAGGATGCTGCTGTCCTTTTAGGGAAGGGAGATTTAGCAGGCTGGATTCTCATCTGACTAAAGTTTGCATCATTTTAAGGAAGTTAAAAGCTCGAGGCTTATTTACACCAGCTGAGAAGCTGAGTTATCATCTTGGGAGCAATTTGGAGGACAATGATATTTACCTTATCAGGGTTCTTCTTACAGTTTGTGGTTTTAGACTCCTTAATTAATGTTGGCAGGATTAAATGCTAAAGTCCTTCGGCAAATTTCCAGTAAAATCAACACAACTTTGCCTAAGTAAAAGCTGGATATGATTCCTACAAGGAAGGACTCACAGCTACTTGTTGCCTTACGGAGTTCTGGCTCCCAACTTCAAAAAAAACCCAAAACCTACATAGCATTGCTTCCCTGGAAACAGTGGAAAAAAACATATTTGAAGGAGTAAGACAGAAACTAGCAGGCAGGGAAGCTGTATTTAAATAGCAGAACAGTTATATTGCATCTAAGCAGGTAAGCGGTTCTCACTAAGGATTGTTTATCAAAAAGTTCCCACATTTGAAAGAAACTGGTTATATTTAAATGAATTCAGGAATCAGTGGAAATTGGGACCCCACCCCAACTATTGCTGCATTGGAGGAGTACACACAGTATCAGTGCAGCGCTCTCATTACACCTGCTTATAACGATGTATACCGGCTGCTTAAGCTCTTCTGATGTTGTGAGGTCTTATTTTGGATTTAAAGCAGCTTAAATACTTGTGTTGTTTTGAGAAGGCTAAAACTCTAGTGTTCCAGAAGCACTTAAAGCAGCTTAATAGGGACTAGAAGTGATTTCCCAGTTTAATTAAAGAGGGAAATTAATTTTTCAGAATATCCATTATCATACTTTAAAGGTGGCAGAGTTAAAGCAAAACTAGGGAACAGAAATATTAAGATTCTTGGAAAAATTATCCTGTCTGTATTGGGCATACACCATGCTTTCTATTTCTCCTATTAAATATGAACAACTTAACACCACCACCACCACCACCAATAAATGATCAACTGCATGATCTCAGTGTCCAAGGCGACACTGTGATACAAACATCCACAGCTTTCCAGGACTTAAGTATTTTCATATTCCTCTTTTAAAATAATATGCAAGGAGAGCAACAGCTACTCTATAACTAGCAGACTCCCATTTTGCTGTGAGATGCACTCCTGCACAGAAAACCAGGCACTGGCCAATACTCTTCATCCCAGATAACGCCTTGAAAGAGGTTTTATGTGTGACTTAAATAATGCACAGGCCTTGATTTAGGTCTCGGTATGGAGATAATGTCCTCAAGTGAGACTATAAGAAGAAAAGTTTTAATTTATGTAATTTATTGGGCAAAAGATTTCAATTTTAAAAATTTTGTTATTGTCTTTTATACTTATTGACTTAAAGATTAAAGGAGAGAATTTGAACCTCTAGCCTGCCTGCCTGTATTGATACAGGCTATAAAATATTAGCCATCTTCTGGATCAAGTCTATCAGCTTGCATTAGCCAAAAACTAATCTTCCAGAAAGGTACCCAGGCTGCATTTGCAGACTTCAAAATGCAGAGAATTAGCATATTTCCCATTGAGGCTTGTGCTGAGCCTTAATAGCTGCTCTGTTTAAAAAAATAACAGCTAATATTTCACTTGAATTTGCCAGTCGTCTACTTCCAGCCCTCATGCCTTTTTTTTTTTTTTTTTTTTTTGTACCTTTCCCTGCTAAGTTAAAGAGCCCTTTTGCTCACAGTGTTTCATCTCCTGTCTGGACCACTGGGTCATTTTCTGTTCCCAGCAACACATCTCACGCCACATTGCATAAGGGCGCAGGCAGCAAATTCCTGAGGATAACTGTCCTCATCCTATTGGAGATTTGTGAGATCCCAAGGAGCAGGAGGACCAAGGCCTCCCCTCAGTAGTGGCTCCACAGGGATGCTCGCAGCCTTTCCCTCTTCCCAACCACTAGGGAAGGGCCCCAGCGCACACAGGGTGCAGGGACATTTTGCAAGTCTGTGTATCACTGTCCTAACAGCAGTGAATTCTTTTGGAGCTTTCCGCCAGTTGGACCTGCTCTGTAGTTTCCAGAGGAGGCTTAGCAGAGCGCTGAGTCTGCTACAGCAGTAATAATAATAAACTGTGCAGCCATAACCTTGCCTTTAAGGTCTGAGGGGGTAATGCATTTAATATATTAACATGTTCAATAACCTCAGTGCCTGTCATGTGCTGATTTAAGGAACTGCAAACTAATTTATTAAAGGAAGACTATGGCTGAGGACATGAAGAAGTCTAGTGTCTGGAAACTGTGAGTGGACTAGACTATCAAATGGATATCTTCAGCCAACAGGTGCTGATGTCCTTTACACAATCACCTTTTAAATTAATATGAAGCTCCTTGTCCCTTCTGACCTCCAAGAAAAGGCAGCAGCATCGACACAGCGAGCTGTTCCATACACTTTGTCCAGAAATTTTAAGAAATCTTAAGTAATCAGGACATGAGAGTCTGATGCGAGTCTGAATGAGAACAGAAAATAGCAGTGGGAAAGGACAATGTCTGCACAGGAGGGGAATTAATGTGCCAGCACTGACCCATATCCCCAGGTCACCCGAGAGAAGGAGTGAAGAAAGGGGCTGTGCTTCCCTTGAGGGTCTGGAGATGAGTGACAAGGGAAGGCTGGTGGTCCCTGTGTCCTCTCTGGGCAGGTGGTCAAGGGAAAAGCTCTCCCTGATCTTCCTGAAAGGGAAAATTGTTAGACTGCAACTTTTTCTTCATTTCCTTCCTGGTAAGCAAACAATGAAGAAGCTGCTTAACTTCTTTTAAACAACATCTTGGAGGCCACAGTAACAAATCTCTTAGGAGAGCACTACCACAGTGGAGGTAGAGACACCTCATTAAAGAGGCACATTTATATCTGGTCCAGAAACATAAAATCAAATAAATCTTTACAAACCAAATTTCCAAGACTGCTGTTTCCATCAGCTAAGTGAGCACACAAAAATCTCATGGATTTGCTTTAAAATAACAAAAAAAAAAATTTCCCTGCAGTTCTGTAACCAAAAGGAACAGCTTCGCTTACAGTGACAGTAATGCACAAAAAGCAGACACGCAGCATAATTAGTGAAAAGGGGAAAATATTTAAAGCTCTTTCTTTTGCAAAAGTTTTCCCAGTTCTTGGAACACAGATATGGACTTTCCAGGGGGGCGGGGGGAGAGCTACATTTTAACCAGATAAAGATCCTCATTAAAAATAATAATAATAAAAAAATGTTTAACTGCTTCCAGCCTACTTGAGAGTTTAGAGCATTAGATCATGCTGGAGAGATCTACCACAGCCAAAACGAAGACAGTTCCACAGATATCCCCCTTGAGTTTACGCTGAAGGCTAAAATTAACTTTGGAGAGCTGATTTCTAAAAGAGCTTCAACTCAGCTTATATTTTTGCAAGTGCAGTCCGGTAGCGAGAGCTCCAGCTTCTCCATTCTGCAATTAACTGTGGCTGCAAAACTTGCACACCAGGAAGGAGGATCCTAATGAATCAGTGCACAAACAAACTTATTCTAGACGTCTGCAAAACGAGCTGTGAAACATCCAGTTCTGCAAACCTCCTGGACCTCCAGTTCGCACTCCATCACCAACAGTAACGATTCTGTAACTGGACTTTAACTGATGATTTTATCAGCACATAAGGTTGATCTTTTTCTCACCCTCCAGCAACTCTTCCAAACGTCCTTGTGTCTCCATCAGCAAAGCAAACAGCTTTTACCCAAATGCTGCAAAGTTATGTGGAGTATAAGCATGCCCACAGGACACAGCCAGCCCTCTGACTGTCACCCCCTTCCAGCAAAGAGCCATTTTCATGCAATTCCGAGTTACCATCATGCAACTATTTGTCCTGAAATCGCTGATCTGGGGAAGTTCTGCCCCCTCATGCATCCACAGGCAAACGGATAGTTTTGCATTCAAATCCCAACACTGGGATGTTTTGTTCTTTTTTCGAAGGAAGCATGTCCATGCTACCTTCCTCATGCAAAGTTTCCTGCAAAGTTAAAGAAGGGAAGTCCCGTGGAGGCAGCGTCTATTTGCAATGTGCAATCGGCACAGTCAGTGCTGACAGTTTGTGTGCTTCAAGGGAGCAGAGATGAAGAGCAAAGCAGCTAGAGAGACGGTGAAAAGGATGGTTTGATCACAGCATCCTGAATAAAAGCCTAACAGAAGGATGGTGGAAGGCAAGGTGAAGTGACGGAAGAGGCTGAATGGATTCACCTCTCAAAGGAAAACCTCAGAATAAAGTAACAAAAGCAAGTAAAGAGAAAGAAAATGAAGCAGAAATAGCTCCAGGCTGGGAGGGAGAGAAAGAACAGTCACTGAGATCTGCTGCATGTGTCTGATGAGAATTTGGCCTCGAATTCGGTATCACTTCCCCATGCTCCCATACACCTAGTGATTACCAACATGTTGTTACCCAGAAATCACCACCAGCTTTACCAACAAAGCCACTGGCTCCAGGCACTGCCCACACAATTCAGTGTCTGTGTCACAATTCAGAATCTGTGTCACTTGTCTAGCATGGACGTGCCCTCCATCAGCACTTCTGGGTAAGCACACGTGCCACTGTCCACACAGCACCCCGTGCCTCATCCCCACACCCGTGCTGTGCCAATTCCCTGGGTAGCACTGTATTTTGGGGGTTGATGCTCTTATTGAGTAATTAACTCTCCCAGCTGTGTCATCTTCTGAGATTTGCCATGATGGAACTACAGACAATGGACATCTTACATCGATGTCAAACTATAATCAAGAAACTGAACTCGACATCTTTATTGCAAGACTTGCTGCAACCGAAGATGGAGGGGACGTGTCAAATCCACGGTGCCAGACTCTTATGAGAAGTTAAAGGGACCTGGGCACCTCTGGAACTTTTGAAAACTTTACCCACAGTCTCTTGGAAGAGACTTTTTTTTCACATGGTTCTGCATGTTCCTGATGGAGTTCACTTGCACACTCACTGAGGCAATGATGGAGGATGCTTGCAAAGAATATCTGGTGGTAGTGAGGCTGTGGATCATTAATGACTAGATGTCCTGGAATGGAAGTCTTTAGAGAAAGAGTCTATTGATATGATGTAGAAAATGTCGAAGCTACATGCAACTGCGAAGGATGAAAATGTGCAGTGCAACCAGATCTTGAGAGCACTAGCAGAAAAAGCCACCCAAAGACTGTCTCCAAGTGCTTGGTCAGGGATGTTTGCCTGTACCCAGGAGCTCCTGCTCTCATTCCGGGGTGGTTTTCTTTACAAATCCCTGCCAGTGAAGCTGCATTTCAGGATCATTCCCTTTAAGAAGCACAAGTAGGATCACACAGATGCTCTGCTACAAGCTGGCACGTGCAGCCAGTGCTCTCCATCACAACACGCATCGGCTTAACACAGGACTGGTCCTCTTCTGAAAATTTCAGCCAATTTAAGACTCCCTCATCCCCCTCCCTCCGAGTCCTGGGGTTTTCCAGACCCTGGGAAGGCTTTCCCTTCCCCTTTGCCAGCACCCCCAAGAAGGCTTGTAAGTCAATATACTAAGCAGAGGATCTAGGAGCTGACTGTCTCTTACCTTTGGTTTTAAAAGCAAAGTTACAGTACTTGCAGACATATGGCCTGACGTCTGTGTGCGTGCGAATGTGTTTCTTCAGCATGCTGGGTTTCTTGCAGCGTATTCCACACTCCTCACATACATACTTCCCTCTTCCACGGCCTCGCACATACACATACTCTTCGTTTGATTTGTACCTATGAGCAAACGGTGTCATGATAAAAAAAAAAAAAAAAAAAAAGAAGATTCCCACCTCAAAAGTAGTCACAACTTTCCTGGATTAATTCAGCATGTTATTGACACCATCGGTCTCATTTACCATTTGCTAGCTATGGGTAATTAGGCTAAATTCAAAATATCTTCAAAAGCTTTTGCCCAGATGCCTACTTCCTTTTCTGGAACATGTTCTTACATCTGCTTCTCTGTACAGACAAACAGTCCGAAGTCACAGGGTCACCCAAATGTCCTGATTTTCCCCATCCTCAAACACAAACTGAGGCACTCGTAATAGTCTGAATAAGATATGTCACAGTCCAGCCTGGCTGCCTGAATCATCTCTCTCTCTCAGCTTTTACTGTGTTTTAAAATATGCACAGTCTGTCACTGCACTACGCAAAGCACTGAGAAAATACACCCTAGCTAAACCTCTTGTCATATAACCTTTCCCACCCATTGGGACAACAGTAAAAGCCATCTGAGAAGACTGTGATGCCACACTACAAGTTGTGGACCCTACACAGACTCCTGCTAGAATGAGACCCCCAGAATGGACACAAAGAGAAGAAAACATCCATTTTTTAAATATATTGTGCTAACACTAAATGTAAACACCACAGACTCCAGGCTTTTTTATCTTTGGCACAATATTGTGAGTTAGGTTTACCCGAGAGAATGAGATCGGTCATCCTTCCTTCACATTGTATATTCATTTATTTTCTGTCCAAGCATTAGGGAAGGCTACATGATGGGGGTTTGAAAAATATTTGTGAGACTGAGACAAATCATTTAGCCTCCTGCCGTTCAGCAAATGGAGTCTGTAATTTCCTGTACTTGCAGCACAAGAAGAATAAGGCAACACAAAATTGGTCCCCTCAGATTTTTAAGAGGCCAAATTTTTGAAGCACGGTACTTCTTGCAACTCATTTTTCTATCCAGTATGAATTATATCTCGTCTTCAGAAATCTCCAACCATCAAACTTTGAAAATCAGACCTTCTAAAGCATCTTAATAGGGGATCTGAAGATACACAAGACCATCAGTCATCTTTTAGTATCTTCCCAATAAAGCCTATTCCAAACCAGAATGGTGAGAAAACAACAGCCAGACTGAAAAGAAACTGGACAGAAACAGCAGCACTAGGAATAGCTTGAACACTTTAATAAGTGAACGTATAGCAAATCCTAAAACCCCTATGTATTTATAACGCAAAAAAAAAAAAATCATTTAAAACTAAGTAAAAAATACACAAAGATCATGAATCCAGCCCTGAACTGATAGGATGATAATGGTATGGTCTGCACAGAAAGCATCCAAGAAAATACATCCCAGTTACCCACAAGTGTAGCTTTAAAAGCAGGTAAGTCACACTGCATGAACCCCTTGATCTCCCACCCAGGCAGAATGCACGTGGCCTTGGCTCCATTTTGTTTCATTCATTTAGGAAGCGTACAGGTAATTTCAGTTCCACATGGGTGTTTGGGGGACCTACTACACGTGAAATTCAGAATAATCTTCCTGGCTGCTACCTGGTAGATGTGAGTTCCAGACTAAACCCCTCCTCTCCTGCCAAATCCTGGTCTTTCTGCCCCAAGGTCTTATCTGTAAGAGGCAGGCTGAGCCACTTCTTTGCTTCATAGGAGAGATGTGAGCAGATGCTTAAAAGATGATGAGTTGCTCATGCATTAAGGTGATGAGATCACAAATCTATGCAGGTTCAGACACAGACTAGAGAAGACAGAGGAAAAATGAGTGTTTACATAGCCCCAATCTAGACTGAAATACCGGTAGCAGCACCAGCATAACCAGGTCTTGGTGTCCAACAGATACACGTGGGGGAACAGCTTGTATTTCTGTCCTTCAGTACGAGCAGAAGTTCTTCAGACCATCACCAGAGTCATCTGGCAGCCCAGATACTCTATTCTGTCTTCTGTAACTGAAGACACAGCAATGCCATCTACCCTGTGCCTTTCCCCACTCAAAAAAAAACAAACAAACAAAAACCAACACCAAAACCCCTTCATCACAAGGTTCTCATTATTTGGCCAGAGGGGACTGAACTGGAGTCTGAAGAGCACACGCTGACTGCCAGCCTCCACCCCAGTATGTCCAGACATCTCCATTTAACCTCACAGACACCAGGGCACACATAATTAATTGTTAGGGATGGCCAATGTCCCTGTCCCTTCTTCACTGAGTCACTGACTTAATGCTAAAGCAGCAAAAGGAGCAAAAGGAACCCAGGAATCCTCATTTCTCTTCTTCTGTTCAAATTTGTATTTGAGGCTTCCTTCTTGCCTCTCTTTCTGTCATTATGCTAGTAATCACCTTGCCATTTAAAAAAATGAAATTGCTCCTTTATCAGCCTTGTACTTGCACTATCCTTAATTACACTCTCACATGGAAATCTTCTAAGCAAGTTCTTTGTGTCCAACAGTCCCTTCATCAGCCTCATTAACGCTATCGGGGCTGCCTTTTCCTGGATAAAAAGGGACACATGATTTAATCTGAAATTAGACACTGCAGCTTATCTGACACTCTGTGAGGCTGAGCCATCCTTTAACACAGATATTTTCCTACAGCTCCCTGAGACCATGTGTAAAACACACAGGGGGAGGAGAGAAACAGAAAAAGAAAGGTTACCTAAGGAAATACCAAACCAAACAAGAAGAAGAAAGAAAGGGAGGTGATACTGCCATGACACAGAACGCTGTTGCAAATGCCATCTGTCTATAATATGTTTGTGGAGATAATTACTTCAATATGATGCTGGTTTCTCTGTGGATCTAATACGCTCATATGATTTGCATCAGAAAGACAAATCAATGACAGCTCACTTCACGTGAAGATTTACCCTGGACAAAGGATCTTCCTGCTCCATAACGTTTGCTGTAACCAGATCCCTCTAATATCCACAGTTGGAGTTTGTGTCAGCAAATCTGGGCTTCTCTTCCAGAGCACTGTGGAATTCATTATCCTGTAGTTAGCAACTTACACCTCTTACAGTGTCACAGCTCCCATCTGATACCAAGGTGATTTGAAACTCAGGAGGCTAACTGACCATTACCAGCTTGGAGACTAATTTCGGAAATAGTTCTTTCAAACAAGACACACAAAAAGATAAAAATTCAGTTATTTGATGCATTTTTTTGAAAGGTTATTTGCTGTGTTCTGCTAGCAAATGCACATCTGCTGAATTTTGAGCAACCACTACAAACACTTTTCAGCGCAAGAGGAACTGGCATAGCCATGGCATCATCGGTGCTACCGTAGGCAGTACCAGATTCAGAGACCTGATAGCCCCAAAACAGGCCATCACCGTCACGAGTCACAAGAAACCCAACAATGGGAAAACACGAACCTGGAGAAAGCTTTGTTCTTTCCCTTAAACTTAGTTGAAACCTAAAACCATGAAGCATTTATTCCTTTGCAGGTTTTAGGAGGTCTAGTTCTTAATATTTGCTGTTACAAATATCTGACTACCCTTTTTAGCCACAGACACTTTTTTTTTTTTCCCCTCAGTGCTGTGAGCCACATCCAAAATCTTCATGTGGCTGAAAACCACACGATAAAACTTTGGAGAGCAGAGGGGGAAGGAGGTTTGGTGGTTCACAGGCAGGAAGGGAGAACAGGTTTCTGGGGGACTCATTGCTTCACTACGAGACACAGTTGGGCTGAATCACCCCTTCTCTCCCACTTCCTACAACAGCCAGGAATTTACCTTGCCCTGCAAAGTCTTTGCTGATGTGACCTTGCTGGTCACAGCCTCAGCACGGAAGCTGCACTTATATTATTTGTAAAAGTCACATGTAGGCAGTCTTTCTGAATTTCCAGAATTTGAAGCTTGATAATGTATTATGGTAAAGAACATTCCCACTTAGTTTTGCAGCAACTGAACAAGTATTTCCTCAACTGGTTTTGACATTTGTTAAACTCACTTGTTTGCTTTTTGGATTTCTGGTACATAGTAACAGGAATCAGATATCTGATCCCTTTCCTGAGCTGCTGCATTTAGTTCAACCAAGTGAACTGAGTAGCTCCAGTTGTTGCCTTCGGTGCAAGTCTTCTGGTTTTATTGATGGCACATTTTATCTGTCATCAGGCTGCCCACTCATCTGGCTTGGCTAAATCCTTTGGAAGATCCTGACAGTCTGCCTTGGTATTAACTAATCTAATTTATGTTTTATGCCACCTGCAAAATTTGACAGATGGCTGATAAATGCATAACTATTATAATGTCGCTAATTACTATTAAGTTTATTGCCTTTCTCACAGCTCCCTGCTAAATGATTAGATGACTTCTTCCACAGTGATACCTGCAATACCGACTCTGAAACTGCATGTGCAGCGGAAGTCCTTAGCCTTACCCATTGCATACCCTAGGGAAACACAGGGTGGGAGACCCTATAGGACTGCAGCCTATGTCAAGGATCACCACGCTCAGAGGTGTGTCCTTAAGGCCAGACAGTTACTATGAAATCTCCGTTAACTCAAGCCAAGCTACAGCAGAACAAACAGAAGGATTTCTTTACAAAATCCAGACCAGACAATGTCATTTCCAGATTTCTAAAAGCATCATAAAACCTTCTAGTATCCCAATTTACCAGACACAGATATTGCATCAAGACAAACAAGGAACTTCCAAAGAATGATCCAGTAAGACAGAGAAAGAGCTGGGTATGGGTATGGGAGGACCTGGCACAGAAATCCCCTCTTTGTCTGAAGTAATGGATGTTTTGCAAACAGCACTTGCCAGTCTCCAGTGAAACTGCAGAAGACAGGAGTCTGAGTTGGATGAGGCTCCACCACCCAGACTGGACATACGCAAAGAAGCCTGGTATGAAGGTGTTACTATGAAAATAATCTTACCCTTGAATTAGGTTATCAGCAGCTCAAACAGGATTTAACACTGGAAGAATTACACTATCCAAGATGGCCACCTCACAGGCAGCAAACCCAGGGCTCCTTCTGCTTGGTAAAACACTGGGGCAGGGACTATCT